TCCGTAACTTCTAATTTAGATGATGAGCACTTGAGGGCTTGCCCAAGACCCATCAAACCTGGTCGTTCCTAGTAGTTTCCACCACTGAGAGTGGCATCATCTACTCTCTCTGAAGCCCTCCAGGGTCTGACTCAGGCTGGATGACACCGTTGGGTGATTATTTTGATGCAGACACACAACTTTCCGCAACTGTATTTCTGCCTTCTGCTTCCCAGAGCCAAAACCTTTCCCCTCAACCTTTTCCTTGGCTTCATCCACAGTAGTTGTGCAAGGGGTTTCAGCCACCCATAATTCTATCAGGCCACTCCAAAGCAACTTCATATAAATATGCAGTTCACAAAAAGCAATAGGAGGCTGGGCACAGTGGCTCATACCTGTAATCCCAGCACTTTGGGAGGCTGAGGCAGGCGGATCACCTGAAGTCAGGAGTTCAAGACCAGCCTGACCAACAGAGAAATCCTGTCTCTACTGAAAATATAAAAAATTAGCTTGGCGTGGTGGCGCATGCCTGTAATCCCAGCTACTTGGGAGGCTGAGGCAGGAGTACCACTTGAACCTGGGAAGCAGAAGTTGTAGTGAGCCAAGATAGCACCACTGCTCTCCAGCCCGGGCAACAAGAGAAAAACTCCATCTCAAAAAATTAAAAATTAAAAAAAAAAAAAAAAAAAGGCAATATAAGGCCTAGTACAGTGGCTCATGCCTGTAATCTCAGCACTTTGGGAGACCAAGGTGGGCAGATCACTTGAGCCCAGGAGTTCAAGACCAGCCTGGCCAACACAGCAAAACCCCATCTCTACTACAAAAATAAAAATTAGCTGGGTATGGTGGCACACATCTGTAGTACCATTATTACTAGGGAGGCTGAGGCAGGAGAATCACCTGAACCCACAAGGTGGAGGTTGCAGTGAGCCAACATCAGGCCACTGCACTCTAGCTTGGGCAAAAGAACAAGACACTATCTCAAAAATAAAAATAAATTTTAAAAAATGTGAGTGCTACCCCAAAAAGCAACATGAGTGCTGCCCAAATGAACTTGCTGCTCCCCTTTCAACCTGACTGCTACTCCAAGCCTCTTCTATCAGGAGTCATGTATCAACAGACAAGTAACTCATCTCTGATTTGCCAATGCAAAGGTAATACCTGAACTCTGCCCTGGGTACAAGGTATTACCTGGCACTATCAGTGCTGTTATTTCAGACCTGCTGAGAATGCACAGCCACCACCACTCATAGTAGCCACCACCTGGCCAATGAATCCTATATATAGGAGGTGCTTAATGCTTGTTGAGTTAAAGACTCAGGAGGCTGAAGCAGGAAAATCGCTTGAACCTGGTAGGCGGAGGTTGCAGTGAGCTGAGCTCATTCCACTGCACTACAGCCTAGCGACAGAGCAAAACTCCATCTCAAAAAAAAAAAAAAAAAAAAAAAAAAAAAAAAAAAAAAAAGAATGGGTAAATGAATGAATGGCAAAACTGCAGAGGAAATGAGCATGCCTTTCCTTTGGGGCCCCACAGCACCCCATACAGAACCTGGCACTTCCCAGACTGCATAGCGTGTACGGGATTAAAGGTCTGTCTACCACTAGACAGTAAGTTCCGGAGGCAAGGACTGTGATGTATTCATTTAACAAAAGCTGTGAAGCTCCTACTATGTGCCAGGCACTGTGCTGGGTGCTGGCAGGACGACAGTGGTGAACTAAACCAAGTCCTGCCCGTGGAGCTCCCTGTCTACAGACTGATTCCTCCTTTATGTCCTCATTACCTGCTCAGTCCGGGGACACAGGAGACGTTCAGTAAGTGTTCCTCCTCCTTTGCTCACCAGATCTTTAAAGAAAAGATTTGAAGCTGTTCCACTGAGAAATATCTTTTCATTTCTTCGGAGAGGCTCAAAGGTGATCTTGCAGGCTCTCAGCAGTTCACAAGCAGATTCCTTTAACCGGCTCCAACCCTGCACCCTGCTTCTTTGATTTCTTGTTGAAACCATGTGCCTTTCTGGGGTGACCTTGGGCCTGCCTGCTCCATAGGGTGCTCTTAACCCCTTAAGGCACTGTTCTAAAGCCTCTGATCTTCTTTAACTACAGTTACTCACCCCAAGTTAACAAGTTTACTCCCTCATATCAAATGGGCCACAGTCATGGTTCTCCCTGTCATTGTACAAGGGGTATTTGCTTTGGATGCACAAGTTAATCCCCACCTGCTAGGGAGGCAAAATGGACAGGTTCATGTCAAGAGGTTGGGAGGAAGTTTGGGTTTCAGCACTTGGTAACGTTTACTTTGGGGGAAATCCTCTCTCTGCATCAAGACAAACCTCCTGGAGGGAGAGCCTGCCAATCATGCAGAGGGCTCTAAAGCAGCTCCCAAGCATTGGTAGTAAGAAGACGACTTAGCCAAGAAATATTCACCATCTCCCAGCCTTTACCATTACTAGAAAGCAGTGAGAAACAAAAGAACAAAAGAGAGACATCACAGTTTGCCTGCGATCATCATTCTTCCATTCAGCCAACAGTTAAGAGCTCACAGCCCGGGCAGCAGACACACGACTGGCCCGGAAGGTTCTGCAACAACCAATACCTGGTCCTGACCACAAGGGCTTCACTCTTTGGTGGAGGAGACAACTATATGAAGAGATGATTACAAAACCACCCCTTTGGAGAAGGTCCAAACTCCTTAGCAAGGCTGTTGCCCAGGCTGGAGTGCAGTGGCTATTCACAGGCATGATCCCACTAATGATCAACACCGGAGTTCTGACTGGCTCTCTTTCCGACCTGGGCTGGTTCGCCCCTCCTTAGGCAACCTGGTGGTCCCTTGCTCCCGGGAGGTCACCATATTGATAATGAACTTAGTGCAGACACCCGATTGGCATAGCGCACTATAGCCCAGAACTCCTGGACTCAAGCAATCCTCCTACCTCAGCCTCCCGAGTAGCTAGGACTACAGGCACTCGCCACCACACCCGGCAGCTATGGCTACTTTTAAGTCATAAACAGTTTCAACGCATTAAGTGAAATGTCCAGTCGCAGGAAGATAAAATTTCAAAACTTAAGGTTCAGGCATCTTCCTTTTTCCAGTTGGAATCTGCTGCAGACAGGAAACCTCTGTCAGAGAAGGAGACAGGCATCTTTGCTAGCTTGGGGAAGGAGCATTCCAGGCCAAGCAGCAGTTTATGCAAAGGCCAGAAGTAGCACCACTTGTTCAGGGACTCCCATGCTGCTTGGCGAGGTTGAGACGTCGTGGTGGGTGGAGAGAATAGGGGTGGAGGTGGAGGAGGTGAGGCTGGAATACGCCACAGGAACCAAATCATGCAAAGCAATCTCTTAAAAAAAAAAAAAAAAGAAAAAGAAAAAGCAGCCATAGCTTTGGGTTTTAAAAATTTAAGTCTGGCCAGAAATTTTTGAGGCTTTGTTTTCATCCAGGGATAGGGAGAATAGAAACCTCCAGAAAAAAATATAAAGGAATTGTGAGACAAAAAGCTCAATCTATGTTATGATCACATTCTATGAGCCACAACTGCTCAACCTCCAGGCAACCCACGTCTGTCTTTCCCTTACACTGAGTCCCTTCCTGCGTGGAGGAAGGACTGTGCAATAAATGTTCAATGAAGAGGGAGTGGGCATGGGGTGAAAAAGGGAACTGTGTAGGGCAGGACAGGCTCTGGCCAGGGAGCACATGCCGGTGCAGGACTCAAGATTAGCACTGCCTCGGAGTCAGCCTCAGAAGGAAGCCCTTGAGGGCTTTAACATCTGCCTTTCACTATGCAGATAAAACCAGCAACTTTATAATGCAAATGCACCCCAGAAAGGCAATGTGAGTCCAAAGAAGTATAAGTCAAAGTGTGGACAACACACGTCGGATCCTTTCCTGCTGGCGTTGTGCTTGCACAGTGGACACCAGGGAGAGCCGCAGGGACCCACCTAAAGAGAAGCGACGTCACCAGGTACACCAGAGACAAGAGATGGAGGCCACATGGCTGACAGCCCATCTGTGTGCACTGCCTTAATCTCCCCAGCCCGTGGGATGTGCAACCTGTCACAGTGAAAAAAGTGAGCGTGACACGTTAACAAACCTGCCCCAAATCACACCACCTCTAAGTGACAGACTGGGATTTAAATTCAGATGTGTGCAGCTCCAGAGCCAGTTCCAGCAGGCCACACTGGTTGACTCTGGGTCAAATCTTCATCTTCTTCCATTTGCTTGGACGCTTTTCTATAAACCTTCAACTCTATGCATTTGAGAGTTGAGAGGAGAGATGAAGGAGCCAACCCCACAGTGCACGCAGGGCTCGAAGCAGTGGAAGTCGGAGGGCAGGGTAGAAGGCAAGGCTGCTGCTGAGGACGGGAGGCTCTCCCAGGCTTCAACAGTGCTCCTGTGTGCACGGTACTGCGTGCTCCCGCCTCCCCTACCGTGGGCTCCTGCATGAGCGGGCGCACCACCCTCTGTGGTAGCACAGGGACTGGGAAGAGCAGCCAGCACACTGTTCACCCACCCCACCCCTGCTGGCACCCTCACCGGCCAGCCTCACATTGCAGCTGGACACCCACTGTCTGACACGTGGCAAGTCAGCACGGCTGGACCAAGCACCTACCCAGGAACCAAAAGTCACAGAACCACTCCGAGAGCTGGTCAAGAGCAAGCGACACTAACTCTATCCTGAACGCTTGTCAGCCTTCATTCATTTCTCTCCTGCTGAGGAACAATATCTGGGATACGGCCACCCCAACTCCTGTGACCTCAATATAGCCCTGTCACCTGAGGAGAGGCCCCCAGCTCAACAGCAGGGGTGAGATGGGACTGGCTCAGCTTTGGGCTTAGCCTGAAACCCCTCAGCTTGCCCACAGCCTGGTGGGGCAAATCTGGCCTCATCAACTGTTGTGGAGCAGCGGGGCCAGTCCCAGTCACCTTCTCTGAAGAATGACCCCTTCTGGGCAGCTTCATGTCTGAGTCTTATGTTCTCAACAGTGGATGACACTCACCCGGGGGACGGGGTAGGGGGGCGGACAACGTATGCTTAGGGAATGCATGGCTTATCAGTTGAGAAGACACACAAGCTTCCACAAATTGATATATTTACTTCATTGTCAGCAGAGTACCCACACACATAAAGATATCGCTGAGTCACTTTAAGTCACATAATTGCAAGTACACAGAGACACACTAGTTGATCCCTGTGGCTGAATGCCCTTGGGGAATACTCTAATCCCAATGGGATTTCTTTGCATCTTCTGGCCACTCTGGCCATTCTCCCTGAGCCCACCCAGCCTCTCCCGCTCCCTTCTATCCTTCCACAACGGTGGCAAAGCAGGGAAGGGCAGTCAAAACAAATTGTAGGTGCGCAGAGGCCTGGACAGGCCTGAGTTCACCGCAGCTGCTCTGGCGTCCCTCCTTGGTTCATGTGGTGTGACTTCACCACTTAAGGATGCTGTCAGCTCCCTGGAGGCAAGGCCCAGGGCTTCGACTTCCATGGGCATGGAGAAACAGTGGTCAGGAAGAGCAGCTCCTTGGCAGACTGCAGGGTGGGTGACAACTGTGAGAGCTCGGGGCTACAAGCAGGGACAGGGCAAGCTAGTAAACAAATAACTGAGACCTGACACTGAGTGGCCTGGCGCAGAGCTGTGCAGGGCGCTGTGGGAGCAGAGGAGGGGCGGGGCAGGACGGCTTCCTCGGAGGGAGCCCTTCAGGCTCCGCCACACGCATCCTGTGTGAGGCACTTCACCTTCGTCTTACCGAATCTGGGATTCAAATCCAGAGCTGTCTGGTTCTAAAACCCATGCGCTCTCTTCTGTACAGGCTGCTCCCTGAGGGGACATCTGCTCTAGGACTCATAGAATGATAAAAAGATCTCCAGAATAAATGGATCACTTTCAGAGAAAAGTAAAAGAACAAAAACACAAAAATAAAAAAGACAGAAAATAAACAAAAAAATACCACATTCTCCCCATATTTCACATGGTGAGCGGCTGGAAGTGCAAACATAAAGGATGCTGGCAACATGGCTGTGGCAAGAGGAGCCTCCGGAGAAGCGAGGTCAGCTTCTCCTCCCGATTTCTGGCTCTTTCAGCCAACAAGGCCAATGGATCTTGCAAACCCACTGTTGCTTCTGAGCTCCAGAAGAGGGGCCTCTCAACATCCAGAGGCTAGGAAGGTCACTCTCAGGGCTCTCAGTTTTGCTTTTTATACTGCAAGACAGAGAGATTCGAAGTGAAGGAGGGAAGCCCACAGGGGCAGGAGGACTCTTGGGGTATCTCAAGGCCCCATGATCTGGGCCTCCTCTGCCTCCTGCAGGGGCTTCTGGGAAGTGGGGAACACAGGCAGGAGGCACTGGGCAGTCAAATCTCTACTTCAAGCCTGGACTCCCTTTCTTCTTTAATGAAAAGGGAAGCTGGCGGGGCTGGGGAGGGAGGATAATAAGAAACCCCGGGCACCCGTCCTCTCTGAGTCTTGTTTCGGGGGGGAAAAACTCTCAGGTGGAGGAGGACCCTTGGAAGCCAGCTGGAACAATTACTGGGTTTTAAAAAAATGGACCCTGGGCCCATACCTGCAGAGTGTGAGTTAGAAGGACAGGGAGGTAGGGGCACACTCCAACTCTCTAGGTCATTCTAATATCAGAGTCTAACGGCCAAGACGCCAGTCTACATTCCTGACTCACTCCCTTCCTCCACCAAAACATACTGAGTGTCTCCTCCGTAATTCCGCCCCAGTGTGAATACCCCCAGAGACAGGGAGTCCCTCCCCTGGACAGCTTTCCTCTCTGCAGTATCTCAATGCCACTGCCGGCTCTGCACTATGGCTTCCAGAAGACTGTTCTCTCCTCCTTCTTCCTGCTGCCCCTTCTCAGCTTGATCAACACTGTTAGGCAAAAATTTGCCTTTAAGGATGAAGAGTGACAGCCCCTCCCCACTTGCAAAATATAAATGCAACCAGAAGGGATCTGCCATCACCTTTCAGCTTCTGGAGGAGGGAAGCAGCTGGATGGTGGCCTCCTCCACAGGGACCATTCTCAACTGTGGGGCAGGAGTGGCCTCTAGTGGTCATGGGGATCATGGCCAGCATCACCCCAGCTCGCAGGCAGAGCCAGGGGGCTAAGCACCTACTTTATTCATGATCCAGTCAGCATCTTCAATGGCTCTTTTAATAATTTGCTGGATTCTCTCAGGGTTGTCTTCATCTGAATGAACCCGAAAACTCTGCAAGTTTAAACATAAAGAAGGATGACCAGATGAAATTCCCAGGACTGGCAGCTTCAGAGCACCAGTCATGGGCAGGTACACTGCTGGGCACTTCATACCCAGCAACTCTCTTCATCCTCCATAGATGGTGATGATTGTCCCCTGTGGAGACGAGGAAACAGAGGCTCAGAGATCCTCACCTGCTGCTGAACAACAGCATTTGAATCCCAGTCTATGTGACTGCAAAGCATGTACTCCTGCCACCAGGGGAGGTGCAAAAACTGGCCCCCAAGGTACCCCAAAATCAAGCTAGGCCCAAAGGCTACCAGGCCATGGAGGCCAAAGGGAACTTCCATCTCTCTTCCTCAGAGGAAGCTGCTTTCCCCAGGGTGAGATCTCGGCATGGGCTTCATAACAGGGAGGAATAAGTAGGGCTTCTCTAGATAGCCACACAGGGAAGGGAGGGGAGGCAATAGACAGAGTGGCTTCAGGAAATTCATTGGGCCCGATGCAGAGCATGGGCCGCTATTTGCTTGTGACCAGATGTTCACCCTTGAGAAGCAACCTAAGATTCAAAAAGAACTGGCACCGGGCACAATGGCTCACCGCTGGGTGTGGTGGCTCATCCCAGCACTTTAGGAGACTGAGGAAGGCCTCCCAAAGTGCTGGGCCGCCTGAGGTCACAAGTTCCAGACCAGCCTGACCAACATCAGAGAAACCCTGTCTCTACTAAAAATACAAAATTAGCCAGGCACGGTGGTGCATGCCTGTCATCCCAGCTACTCGGGAGGCTGAGGCAGGAGAATCACTTGAACCTGGGAGGTGGAGGTTGCGGTGAATCCAGATCGTGCCATTATACTAGTCTCAAAAAAACAAAAAAAAAAAACAAAAAAAAAAAACAAAAAACTGGCACCTCCCTCCCCTGTCACTCCCAACCCCACACATCCTCCTGGCTCCTCTTTAGGAGCCCCCTCAGCATCCACCTCTGGGATGCCCTCCCTGACTCCCTAGACAGCTAACTGCTCCCTTCTCCATGTTTCCACAGCCCTCTGTGGCTACCGCTACCTCCATTTTTTTTTTCTTTTTTTTACTTTCCATATTATATTTGTATGAATTTTAGCTAACTTTCTACTTTGAAATGATTTCTCACTTACAGAAGGTTGTGGTAATATACAAAGAATTCCTACCAGAATCGATTGTTAATATTTTGCTACACTCGCTTTATTGTTCTCTTTCTATGACTATGTATACGTTTTTTCAGAAGCGTTTAAGAGTAAGTGCAAGGCCGGGCGCAGTGGCTCACGCCTGTAATCCCAGCACTTCGGGAGGCCAAGATGGGTGGATCATGAGGTCAAGAGATCGAGACCATCCTGGTCAACATGGTGAAACCGCGTCTCTACTAAAAATACAAAAATTAGCTGGGCATGGTGGCGCACGCCTGTAGTCCCAGCTACTCGGGAGGCTGAGGCAGGAGAATTGCTTGAACCCAGGAGATGGAGGTTGCAGTGAGCCGAGATCGCGCCATTGCACTCTAGCCTGGGTAACAAGAGTGAAACTCTGTCTCAAAAAAAAAAGAGTAAGTGCAGACACGCTGCCCTTACGCCTAAACATCCCTATGTGTATATCCTAATGACAAGGGCGTTCTCTGACACAACCACAGCAATTAAATTCAGAAGACTTAATATTGACACACTATAATCTATAGCCCCTATTCCAATTTCATGCACTGCCCCAGTAATAGTCCTTTTTTTTTTTTTTTTTTTGAGGCAGAATCTCACCTGTCACCCAGGTGAGAATGTAGTGGCACAACAATCACAGTTCACTGCGTCTTGACCTCCTGGGCTCAAGCAATCCTCCAATCTCATTTGTTAATTATTAGTATTATTTTTTTAATAGAAACAAGGTCTTACTATGTTGCCCAGGTTGGTCTTGAACTTCTGAGCTCAAACAATCTGCCTACCTCAGCCTCCCAAAGTGCTGGGATTACAGGCGTGAACCACCACACCCATAATCCGTAATAGTCTTTTAAAAATTTTTTATTTATTTTTATTTTATTTTTTAAGATGGGGTTTCACCATGATGGCCAGGCTGGTCTTGAACTCCTGACCTCAGGTGATCCACCCACCTAGGCCTCCCAAAGTGCTAGGATTACAGGTGTGAGCCACTGCGCCGGGCCTGTAATATTCTTTAAAGCTTTTTTTTTTTCGGGTCTAGGATCCAATCTGGAATCATGCATTACATTTAGTCACCATGTCTCTTGAGTTCTCTAATCCAGAACACTCAGCCTTTCTTTGTGTTTCAGGATACTGACATTTTTGATGAGGACAGGTCAATTAATTATGCGGTGGATGGCCTCTCGATCAGGGTCTACCTGATGTTTTCTCAGGATTAAATTCAAGTTGTGCACTGTTGGCAGGGATGCCTGTGAGATGATGTCGTGCCTCACAGTCTATTTTAACTATCCGCTTAGCTGCCTCATGCATGCCCTAGAACAGCTAGTGTGCTGGGTGATGCACCCTCTGTTTCCTGGACAGAGAGGAGCTGGGCAGCCCAGCACTGGTTTCCTGTGGCTCTTACCACCCTGCCACCTCACCACCATCGGAGAGACTAGCCCTGTGCCCTGGCCTCTGGCCCATGCCCCCAAGCCTGCCATCAAAGGCAGCCCCCAGACCCGGCGGACCCAGCTCACACCTGCCTGATGGCATGCTTGTAATGCTGCTGGATGCCCTTGGTCGGCAGCTGCTGGCAACAGCGCAGCAAATATCGGTAGAGCTGCAGTGGCTTCTGAACCAGTTCTGCCCCTGGCAGCGGGGCCATCTGTGAGACCCTCTGTCCCTGGAAAACAAGGAGCATCACTTCTAGGGCATCAAGCCAAGTTCTGGACTCAGCTCTGGCCCCCAGGCCCCAGCATTCCGGGAAGCAGGCATGGTTGGTACAGAGGCCCAGTGCCCCTCCTGTCCCATCCCATGGAGCCTGCACCTTGGGCTGGGCTCAGTGTTTAGTCCTGCAGAAGCCCTAGGCCAGAGCAGGCCCGCAAGGACCAAGAGTGAGTGTGGAGGGAAATGTACAGCCTCATCCCTGGCGTCTTGTTTCTGGAACTCAACTTCAGGTGGTGTGTGAGTAGGTGTCCCTCACAGGCAAGGTAGGGGAGATAAGCAGGAAGACCCTGAGGGGCAATCACTAGGAAACCAGCTCTGACATCAGCCATGGCTGGCGAGAGCACAGGCCACAGAGGGGAGAATGCCCACAGGCCTGAGCCTCGAAACTCAAAGTGTGCTGCTGAACCAGCAAAACCCACAGCACCGGGAGCTCGTCAGAAATGCAGTCTCAGGCCCCAACCCAGGCCCACTAGATCAAACCTGCATTTTAACAAGGATGCCAGGAGATTTGCATGCACATTTTAAAGTCTGAGAAGCATGAATCTAGGGGCCTCTGCACAAAGACACTGGACAGAGTCACCATGGTACACCGAGAGCCTGGGCACGTGACTTCATTTCACTATGAGTTATGATCAGAATCACAATGAGCTGGGTGAGGTGGCTCACACCTGTAAGGTGGACAGATCACTTAAGGGCAGGAGTTCAAGACCAGCCTGGCCAACACGGTGAAACCCTGTCTCTACTAAAAATAAAAAATTAGCCAGGCTTGGTGGTACATGCCTATAATCCCAGCTACTCCGGAGGCTGATGCAGGAGAATCGCTCTATCCCAGAAGTGGAGATGGCAGTGAGCTGAGATTGAAACACTGCACTTCGGCCTGGGCAACGCAGCAAGACTCCATGTCAAAAAAAAAAAAAAAAAAGAGAATCACAATGAGCACTTGTTTGTCTTTATTTACATGTAATTAATGCACACATTAAAAAAAACAGTCACAGAGAGGACTGGTAACCTGTCGAAGATCACACAGCTGATAAAGGTGGAGCTTGGATTTGAACTCTGACAGACTGGCCCCAGAGTCTTATTCTAAAAAAAAAAAAAAAAAAAAAAAGAGGCTGTATTGAGGTACAGTTGACATATAGCCAACTCCATAAAGTATGTAATTTGGTAAGCGCAGCCACAGGTACACACTGGAGAAGCGAGCACCATACTCAAGACAATGTGTTCACTGTCTTGTGTTCACTGCCTTATCCATCACCCCCAAAAGTTACCGCATGCCTTTTGTAATCCCTCCCTCCCGCCCTCTCGATGTCCCCAACCCTAGGCAGCTGCTGCTCTGCTTTCTGTCACTAGAATTGTGTGCATTTTCCAGTTTCATATAAATGGAATTACACAGCATACTCTCTTTTGTGTCTGCAGAACCCACATTTTTCTCTATATTAAGGCTCTCTAAGGAACCCACAACTCTAGCCTAACCTCCTTTTTTTTAAGGGAACGATGAGAGTATAGATTGTTTTAAATGGCAGGTTTTAAAACGTATGGGCTTGCTAAGCTTTCATCAGGCTCCTGCCTGAACCTGGTATCCCAGTCCCTAGCCCGTCACTCCAGTCTCCACACCGACACCAAGTGAGCCCTGGAATCAAGTGTCCTGGGCGCATCCCAGTCAGCCACAGGAACTGCTCCCAGACTCCCCAAACAACCAAGTATGGCGCCTTTCAGTGCACGTGCAGCTCCCTGGCCGCAGACTCCTTCCCATCTCCTCTGTGTGAGGAGCCTTGTTCATCCTTCCAGGCTCAGCTCAGTGCCCTTCCTCCAGGAAGCCCTTCCTCACTGTTCCTGTCTGGAAACAGTGGGGCTCCCCCTGTCCTCTGTGGGGCTGCAGAGCCTCGTTCACGGTGTTGCCAGGGACTTATCTGCTACCTCACCTGTGGCTCTCTCTGGGCTAAGCACCTGGCCTGCAGTGGGCTCCACTCACTGTCAACTAAACAGAAGGAAGCTACTATCTCCTCTGTACAGAGAGACACCCCTTATGTTCCAGATGAGGGAGCTAAAAGAGATCCATAGGCCGGGCGCGGTGGCTCAAGCCTGTAATCCCAGCACTTTGGGAGGCCGAGGTGGGTGGATCACGAGGTCAAGAGATCGAGACCATCCTGGTCAACATAGTGAAACCCCGTCTCTACTAAAAATACAAAAAATTAGCTGGGCATGGTGGCACGTGCCTGTAATCCCAGCTACTCAGGAGGCTGAGGCAGGAGAATTGCCTGAACCCAGGAGGCGGAGGTTGCAGTGAGCCGAGATCGCGCCATTGCACTCCAGCCTGGGTAATAAGAGCGAAACTCCATCTCAAAAGAAAAAAAAAAAAATTAGCTGGGCATGGTGGCGCGTGCCTATAATCCCAGCTACTCAGGAGGCTGAGGCAGGAGAATTGCCTGAACCCAGGAGGCAGAGGTTGCGGTGAACTGAGATTGCGCCATTGCACTCCAGCCTGAGTAACAAGAGCGAAACTCCGTCTCAAAAAAAAAAAAAAAAAAGAGATCCAGTGACTGGCCTTAGTTTTAAAGGAACATACAAGAAAAAAGACAACCCCCCTCCTGTCACCCCCTCCAAAAGAACCAGAAACTAAATCTATCAGATGCCCTTAAACTAAGAAGGGAAGCTTAGCTGGTTGCAGAGGCTCCTTTATTCCATTTACAGCACATTATCTCCTCGGCAACAATAAATGTGTCTCCTCAGCTATGTTAGCCAATTCCTCCTCGTTCCCTGACTCTTGCTCTGATGCTGGAGTGGACAGGTAGTTGTCTGACCCCCACTATCCATTCTCCCTTCTAGTAACAGCCCCAATGTGCAATCTGGGGTGCACTCCTCCCCAGGTCTCAACGCAGAAGGTCTGAGTGGGACTATATCCAGTCCTAATCTATCAGAACTCTGCATTCACATGGGTACAAGGACTGGCTCACACACAGGCATGTGACAAAAGCTAGCTAGTTCAAAGAGCATCGCAACACCTCTGCAGAAGTGGTGTGAAAGGACTCTAGCTCCTTCCCACTAAACTTGATGCTGGGAGGATTTGATCTTCACTCTCAGTGAAGCCATCCTGCCTCCTCTAGAATCCTGAGACCACAGCCACATAGCAGAAGGCAGAGCTGAGACCCTAAGAAAAAACAAGCCCAAAGAATTTATTTGGGCCAGGGGTGGTGGCTCACGCCTGTAATGCCAGCACTTTGGGAGGCTGAGATGGGTGGATCGTTTGAAGCCAGGAGTTTGAGACCAACCTGAGCAACATAGGGAAACCCTGTCTCTACAAAAAATAAAAAGTTAACTGGTGGCATGTGACTGTAGTCCCAGCTACTCAGGAGGCTAAGATGGTAGGACCATTTGAGCCTCAGCAGTTGAGGGTGCAGTGAGCTGTGATTACACCATGGCACTCAGCCTGGATGATACAAAGTGAGACTGTCTCAGAAAAAATTCATTTGAGCCCTAACACCATCTACCTGAAGAAAGTCCTTCCCGTAGACTTCTCAATGATCTGAGCCAATTAATCCCCTTTCACCCAAGTAGCCGAGGTTTGTTGTTCTGTCACTTGTAACCCAAAAGGTACAACTGTCAGACAATCCTGACCTCACAGATTCTTCCATGATGCACTCTGATGGTTCCAGCTGTAAGGAAGAGCTGAACAGGACAGGGCTCCTCGAGTTCCTCCTGCTATCAATCATGACCGTGCCAGTCCAGCTCAATACGCTTTGGCCCAGAAATCAGAGGGGAACCCATTCAAGGGTGGCCAAGACCATCACAGCAACCACAGGAGGCATACCACCGAAGTTCCCAACCTGATGGGTAGACTCCACTGGCAGGCTTCCCCAAACTATATAAAGTAGTAATCAAATATTGTAAAATGCTAGTCGCGGAACAGATGGTTACCATCTGCAGTCCTCAAAATTAACATTTGGAAAGAGCACAACTTTGTTTCATTACTTAAAAACTCAAGCAATACTTAGTAACCAACCCAGCAAGTATGGGCGGCAGATTATTTTCAGCTCAATTATAATACTTAGTCATTCTCAGTAATAACTAGTAGAGAATACATGTGTGGGTCCACTTAGAAGAGCTAAACTAAAAACGTTTTAATTTAATTTAAAGTGTGGGTTTGCTATTATTTAAGGGGCAATGAACCTCATAGCAACTTTGCTAAAACTGCAGTCAAAGCCTCTGGCCCTGGCAACACGTGCCTCCCTTGACCTGCCCTTTGGACTTGATCGTGGCCTCTGCACCCTGGCTCCCTGCCTGTGTGACGGCTCCTCCATCTTCCCAGGCAACCAAACCAAAATCATCACCAGCAACCCAGGTTCCTCCTTCTCCTCAATCTCCATGCCACTGGTTTCTAAGTCCTATCAAATTTCATCTCTGAATGCCCCTCACATTTGTCCCCTCCTCCCTACTCCAGTGCACACCCTTGGTTCAGACTCTCCTCTCTCTGGGACAACTGCAACAGCCCCTAGCTGGTCTCCCTGTCTTCCAGTCCATTTCCTGCCAATCTACTCTGCCCAACAGCCAGAGTGAATCTTTCTAAAACATAAATATCAGGGTGTCCCATCCTTCCTCAAACACCCAGTATCCATCCCTACCTCCATCATTCATGGCAACTTTTCCCAAAATGTAGAACAAATATCTGAAATTAATTTAAGTAGTATATGGCCAGCATTTTTTATTGTAATGATTTTACATTTATTTTCATGTGTAATGAGGGGGAAAAAATACGTTTTCATAGGTATTAATGGCCTAAGGCAGTTTTTTCAAATGGGCATAAAATTATTACTATTATTTTTTGGTTTTGTTTTTCTATCAGCAGCATAAAAACGTTGCTTTTTTTTGTTTTGTTTTGTTTTTAATGTCTCAAACAAATAATAATGCAATTGAAATGTGGACCTGGCAAAAATCATGAAGGTCCTGAAGTGTGGAAAG